CCAAGGAAAGCTGGGGGTACAGGAAGCCCCGGTTCAAAAAAAAAAAAAAAAAAAAAAAAAAAAGTTGTTTTTTAATTAGTTAAAAATTTTTTTCTTTGAGACAGGGTCTCCCTATAGCCCCAGCTGGCCTGGAACTCACTGTGTAGACCAGGCTGGCCTTGATCTCACAGAGATCCCCTTGCCTCTGCCTCCCAAGTGCTGGGTTATTAAAGGTGTGTGCTCCATGCCAGGCCAACATCAGGGTTCTTGGTCAGTCATCAGGTCATCTGTGAATGTCAGGTGGTGTTACTCGTTTCTAACTTAACTTTTGGTGTGTCTTCTAGTGGCCCATCTTAGGCCAGATTGTCTTTTCATCCAAGTTTCAGAAGATGGAAACATTTAAGCCTCCAAAGGATGTTGACCTAAAGTCACTTCATCTTCAGAAACTTCTGCAGTCCACCTGGACCAAGACCAACAGCCAGTTCCTGCCTGGTCCTCAGAAACCAAATAGCCCCTTCACCCTACTCCAGAAGGAGCTGTTCTTAATTATGAATTCTTACCGGGACCTGTTCTACCCAGAAAGGACTGCCTTGAAGAACGGAGAAGAGATCCGCCATGTGTACTGCCTGCATGTCATAAACCATGTCCTCAAAGCTAACGCCCAGGTGCTGGCCAACAACAGCAGGCGCCGGAGCCAGAAACTCGGGGTGGGTGAAGATGATGACCTCAGGGACCAGGGGCTGACCAGGCCTAAGGTGAGTGGCAGCAGGGGAGCTTTGCTGTCAAGGAGGCTATGGGGCGCTGTCTGTATTGACAGTGGGCTGGACATTGAGCAAACGCCAGAGTGGATGGTGAGGGAGCCGGTGCTGCTGACGGACAGTGCTGCAGTGGAGGAGGCCAAGAGGAGGAGCTCAGCTGCTCTGTAGATAGACCCCTCGCACAGGCACACACTCCCACCACAGATCTCTTCCCAGAGGCTTTCAGCATGGTGGGACCTTAACGAACTCTTCATCCAGTCACTCTGTTGCAGCTGTGGGGAGGCCCAGATTTGCAGAAGGACCTGCTACAGGGAGCTAGGGAAAGAGTAGCATCGACAGGACTAGGAGGCGATGTAGACCTTCAGAACAAAGACCCGCTTGCCCCTCTAAACTAGCTGCTGCTTAAAGAAGTGATTTCATTTATTTCTGCTCGTCTGAGCTCTAGTAAATTTGAGGCGCTCGTAGGAAAGAAAGAAAGTGTCTTCATTCTGTCCACATTTTTCATGATGCCAGGGGTTAGCCCCACCACCACCACCTTGTCTTCTGTAAGCTGAACAGATTCAAGGTATAAGTACTGACATGGCTCTTACTGAGTCCCTCGTCAAACCCCTTGTTTGTTAGTGCAGACACACACTTAGGTCACTCCTGGGACAGTAATCCAGCCTGTGGCCTTCCATCCCTGTGGCTGAATCAGACTGAATTGCTCACTACTTGGGCTGAGCTGCTTGTGTTTCTGGGGAGCTGCCTCAGACATGCACATCAGAGTTAAGGATCTCTGTCTGGTTGTGCATTGTATAGAAGAATATCATTTATAGTTGGAATCATGTGGTTTGACTAGAATTAAATCTATTGTTTAATGGGGAGTTAGAAATCAGCTCTTCATTCAGCCCTTTCTCATTGTGCTCTCAGCAGAAGCTTTAAGCATTTTTCAGAGGCTTGGACAATTGAATCCTGTTCTTCCAATTCAGAAATGCATCGTTGGTTATAAAAACGTTCTAGGGAACGTACTAGACAAATAATGGTGTGTCAATCTTAACTTACCTCCTCTTCTCTGCTTATTTATCTTATCTATTGAGTGGGTCTTCCTTTGCCCTGAGACCTTGTGTGCGTCTCTCTCTGACTTTTGCTGCTGAGCACATCTACAGGCTTTTATTTTATATGAAAGTGTTTGCAAGTTTTGCTTGAGAAGTGTCTTCCAGGAGTCATGGGACCAGTGTTCCTAGGATGTAATGCTGAGGAGACAGGTGCTCAGCCTTTGGCACTGAACAGGCCTGTGCAAAGGTGGTGACACGGGCACAGATCTGGCCTGAGACACTGCTTTGTTCTGGGCTTTGGAGCCCTCGCTCCTCTTCAGTGATCCCTTCCCCCACAGGTGTTGATCGTGGTACCCTTCCGGGAAGCTGCCCTGCGCGTGGTCCAGGTCTTCATCAGCCTCCTGGAGGGTGACAGCCAGAAGAAAATCATTGTAAGCAACAAGAAGCGGTTTCAGGGAGAATATGGATCTGATCCTGAGGAGAGACCCCCCAACCTGAAGAGGCCTGAAGATTATGAAGCCATGTTTGTGGGCAACATCGACGACCACTTCAGAATTGGTAATGCCTCCTTGACAAGGTGGGGGTCCCCTGAGACCTCAGGGATCACGGGAGGGGTCCTGACTCAGCTATCGGAATGGTGCTGAAATGTCTTGTCACACCTGTCCGTGGTAGCACATGGTCCCGTTAGGGTTGGGAATTGTTAGCTGGGGTCGGCCTGAGGAGGCTGGGAAACCCGGTGCAAGTGAGGCTGAATTTCCGTTCTGTCTGCGTATGCATTGCAACCCCCCAACCCCCAGTGCAGCTCTCCTGCTTGTGCTGGTCTCAGCCAGCTCCGTTTATCCTGGTAGGGCAAACTTCTTGAGAAAGTGTTCAGTATTCATGGCATTGGGCTTTATTCACAAACCTTTAAGTTTCTGTTGCCAAGGAAGTCCAGTCTGGGAAACAGGAAGATGACTAAGGCAGAGCCCGTGTTCTAAGAGCATTTTAAGCAATTCCCTTGCTGGGGTGGGGCAGAGTGGCCAGGGAAGGCATCCTTGTGTTGGCTCTGCTGGGGTGAGGTCTGAGCAAGATGTAGCCTGTTTCTCAGGGCTGTTGGAGTAGAAGAACAGGAGCTCACGTCTGCAGAGGGATTTGTGTGGTGAAGCCTGGGGCCACCCAGGATGCACACAGGCCTCAATGTGACTGCAGTGTGGGGTGCAAGGGACAGAGTGGCCATTTCACCTGAATCACGTATAGCGTTCCCTAGCGGTTGGTACATTGGTCCAAAGCTCAAGGGAAGATGTGGGCTAGAAGTACAGATGATGGTAGAGTCCAGGTTTGTGAAGAAATTTGCCAAAAGCTTTATTAGAACTGAGCAGAACCTAGGGGTCTGTGGGAGAAGATACACTTGGATGTGAGGAAAAAGGCAGGACGGGTTGGTGGGAAGCAAGTGTGAAGTTGTGGGAGCCATTGGCTTGGAAGTGAGTGACTGATACACATTGAAGAGCCCTAGAAACGCCCGTTGAGTTGGTAATAGGACTGCCAGCAAGCAAAGTTTCTGTCAGGGCCTCTGAATCAGGCCGGGTGGGCAGTGGATTGAGACATTCGACGGTGAAAAGTGGATGTGGGAGCTGTGGAAGGACCGTGGGTGCCGGGAGGGGTTGTTTCTGTTAAGTACTTGGAGCTCCAAGCTGAGGGCACAGATACAGCAGGTACGGGAGGGGAAGGTTTGTGGGGAGGGAGGCTTGGAGAGCTGGAGGTGCTGGCATGTATGTGACAAACAGTGACTTTGCAGGCGTGGCGATACTTCAGAGGAGCATCCGTCTCTACGCCCCGTTTTACTCCTCTGACATCCTCATTGCCTCCCCCCTGGGCCTGAGGACCATTATTGGTGGCGAAGGAGAGAAGAAGAGAGACTTTGACTTTCTGTCGTCCATTGAGCTTCTCGTCATTGACCAAGCTGACGTCTATCTGATGCAGAACTGGGAGCATGTCCTGGTAATGCTGGCTGAGGGGCAGCGGCCTTGCAGGGAGCACGTACTGGGGAGCCAAAGTCTAATATGGCTGTGTGCTGGCTTGGGGGCGCAAAGATCCAACTCAGGAGTTTCAGGCCGGATCAGAATCGTCTGGATGGCGAGTCATGTTTGAGCTCCTTCTTTGTTCCTCAGTCAAGAAGGGAAGCACTGTGTACTGCTTCTTTTTGGAGAGGGACAGGGACTTGCTGTGTAGCCCAGGCTGCCATTGAACCCCACCTTCCTGCCTCTGTCTCTGAAGTGCTGGGATTACAGATGTGTGCTGCCATCCCCAGCTGCCTCGTGTTTCTTAACATGAGATCTTGAAGCTGTAAATTTTGTCTTCTCCACACAACACACAGAGGTATTGTCAGCTTTAAGACTGAAAGACTTAAGCTGGGCGTGGTGGCGCACACCTTTAATCCCAGCACTCGGGAGGCAGAGGCAGGCGGATCTCTGGTGAGTTCAAGGCCAGCCTGGTCTACATAGTGAGTTCCAGGACATCTGGGGCTACAGAGAGACCCTGTCTCAAAAAGACCCACCCCCCCAAATTTGAAAGACTTGAGCTGGGTGTGATGGTGCACACCTTTAATCCCAGCACTTGGGAGGCCAGAGGCAGGCTGAATCTCTGTGAGTTCAAGGCCAGCCTGGTCTACATGGTGAGTTCCAGGCCAGTTGGGGCTACAGGGAGACCCTGTCTCAAAAAGACCAAAAAAGATTGAAAGACTTCTTTGGAGTTGTTTTTTTGTTTGTTTGTTTTTGAGACAGCGTCTTGGTGTGTAGCCCTGACTGGCCTGGAATTCACCATGTAGACCAGGCTGGCCTGGGACTCACTATGTAGACCAGGCTGGCCTGGGACTCAGAGAGATCCACGTGCCTCTGCCTCCTGAGTGCTGGGATTAGAGGTGAGTGTCACCACCCCCACCTGAAGTGCTCTTACCACAGCTGTAGGGTTGTTCTTTGAAGGCAGATGAAAACTTACCTCTGCTACAACCTGAGCAAGGACTTAGAGCTTACAGGAAGTTTGGGGTACATTGAGGGCAGTGCAGACATACAAAGCAAAATGTGAACTTGTAACTCCTGCCCCTTCAATGTGTGTCCTACGGTATGTTAAAACGCAACTAAAATGGACAAAGCAAGCCGGGCGAGGTCGCTCACGCGTATAATCCTAGCTCTTGGGAGCCTGAAGCAGGAGGATTGCCCTAAATTCAGGGCCAGAAAGGAAAGGAAGAAAAACAGAAAAGGCCTGTTGATGGCTGCAGTAGTCTTTAATTTGGGAATGGCCACTAATGGTTTGTTTTTGGTTTTTTGCAGTGCTGGGAATTGAATGCAGGGTCTTGGGTATGACAGGAAAGTCTGTCGCTGAGCCCCAAGCCCTTCACCAGTGCTCTGAGACCCAGTTGTTCAGGACAGTGGCCCTGCCCTGTGTTGCTTCCCATCTCTGGGACATGTCCCCAAGAGTGACTGGTCTACACTTGACGAGTTCCTTTTGTTGTGTGGATTTTGTTTTCTTTATACTTTATATTTTATTACTGTTTTCTTTAATGTACCAAATAATTTTGTATTGACCCTTCTGTAGATAAACAGATCACTGTGCCCCTCGCCCCCGCCTACTGGTCCCCCTCCTACCAGTCCCCCTCCTACCGGTCCCCCTCCTACTGGTCCCCTTCAGTGGTTCTTTGGGACAGTCTCACTATAACCTGCCCTGGCCTTAAACCTACTGCAGGCCTCCTGACTGCTGGGTTGCAGGAGAGCACCACTGTGTGGTTCCAGAAGCTCCTTTTAAAGCAATTTCCCAACAGGCTCCATCGTGTTTAAGGCCCAGGACATAGCCATTTTTAGCTTGTATTCTTGTTGGGGGTTCAGCTAACCGAGCCAGCCGTCCATCTGACCCTTGTTTTCTTGTAACTGGGGTGACACGTGCTCCATGGGGTTAAGGAGATGTACATTTGAAAATGTCTCATGGTTCCTAACACGGACACATTCAGTACACACTGATTTAATGGTGGTGCTGTTTTTGCTTGAAGCATTTGATGAACCACATGAACCTGCTTCCCTTGGATTCACACGGGGTGGACTTCTCTCGTGTGCGCATGTGGAGCCTCAATAATTGGTCCAAGTACTACCGCCAGACCCTGCTGTTTGGTGCCCTGCAGGATGCTCAGATCAACTCTCTGTTCAACAAGTACTGCATCAACACTCAAGGCCAGGTGGGTTCTCCTGTGTCCTCGGATCTTCCCGTGCACAGGCTGGGTGGGTCTTGAAATGGAAGAGATAGTAGTTTTTGGTCGCCAAAGGATGCCTTACCTTCTGAAGGTCTCGTTGACTCTTGGCAGGTGGCAGTAAGGAACGTCCCAATGACGGGCTCCATCAGTCACGTGCTGGTGCAGCTCCCACATGTCTTCCAGAGAATGGAAACCCAAGACCTGGCCTCAGTGATCGATGCCAGGTAACCCCATCCACTTCCATCCCAAAGGCCCTCATGGGAGATCTGACTTTGGATGCAGACGTATCACTGGACTCCAGGTTACCAAGTTAGATCAGATAATTGAACTCAGACATGCTTGCTTTTGACAGAGGAGGAAACCCAAGCTCTGGAGAAATGGCATCCTGGCCTCAGTCTCAGAGCTCAAGGCATACTTGGTACTGAGACCAGTGTTCCTGGCCCCTGGCTGGGGCATTGTAGGGTCATACCATGTTGCATTGTGCTTCAGAGTGTCCGTGCCAGTGACTTTATTGTAAGCCCTCTGTGGGAACTGGCGGTTCAGTTCTCTCGTATTTCCAGGTGGTAGGTGGTCAGCATGTGATAGGTGGTCAGCAATTATTTGATTCATGAATGAGGGGTGTGGTATGAGGACCATGGAGCCTTTGAGAGGCTGCAGGGGAGCTGATCTAGGGGAGGTGTGACTTACTGGGACACACTACCACCGCACCCTGTAGGTTCAGCTCTAGACCATTAACTTCGCCCCTTGGCCTTTCCAAATCAGGTTTAATTTCTTCACCAACAAGATTCTGCCCCAGTACCGGGATGCTGTCATGTCCCACACGCTCATCTATGTCCCCTCTTACTTTGACTTTGTTCGTCTCCGAAATTACTTCAAGAAGGAAGAGCTGAACTTCACACACATCTGCGAGTATACCAGCAAGTCTGGGGTCTCCAGGGCACGACACTTCTTCCTTCAAGGAGAGAAGCAGTTTCTGCTCCTCACGGAGCGTTTCCATTTCTACAAAAGGTAAAGTAGTGCTAGGTGTGGACTCCTCTGAAGGGGAAATGGCCTGTCAGCGCCTGGCCTTGTGTCGGACGGTCATGCCTTGCTTGGCCCTGCAGAAGAGCCACAGGAAGTGGAGCCCACAGTTGGTTCCCTTTGTGGGTTGATGAGTAGGTGGCTGGTTGGTGTGCTTCTGAAGTGCCGTGGTGGGAAGTGTGGAAACCACAACCACAGCATGACCCATGTCTGATCTAGAGTATAGTGGTGGCCCTGCACCTCGTAGAGGCCACTGCAGGTTGAAGAGCATGCCAGGTCAGGGACACCACAGCTGAGGTTGGGGAGGTGGAGGCCGCGCACAGTGCCGGTGTCTAGAAAGTAGCAGCGTAGGTCAGGAGTGCTGCCTAGGGCAACTCCTCAACATGGAAAACCAAGGCGCTGGGCCCCGGTGGCAGCAGGCACAAAGGGAACGGCTCACGGTTGGGTGTTTAAGGGTTTCCCTGTCCGCGTGCATTCTCTGCCAGATCACTGACAGAATCCACTGCCTGGCCTTTCTGCTCCTGCCTTTGAAGTTCTGGTCTGCTTGTTAGTTGTTAGCTTTCTGGGCCTGCTGGGTGGTAATGACCTGAGGTCTATTCCTAGGACCCATGCATACCTGCACATGTGCTGTGGCACGTATACCCACGCATACATGCACATGTGCTGTGGCACGCATACCCACACCATACATGCACATGTGCTGTGGCACGTATGCCCATGCATACATGTACATCTGCTGTAGCACACATTACCCACGCATACCTGCACATGTGCTATGGCACGCATACCCACGCATACCTGCACATGTGCTGTGGCACACATACCCACACATACATGCACATGTATTGTGGCACATATACCCATGCATACATGCACATGTGCAGGCACACACAAGACAAAAGCAGTAGCGATGGCACTCCACGGGGTGGTGGCACGGGAGCAGGGCAGGCCCAAGGTCAAGAGCCCCAAGTTCTTTTTTTTTGGTCTTTTTGAGACAGTCTCCCTGGAGACCAGGCTGACCTCGAGCTCACAGAGAGCTCATAGCCTCCCAAGTGCTGGGACTAAAGTTGTGTGCCACCACGCCTGCCTGAAGCCCCAAGTTCGTTTCCAGGTTCTTTTTATGCAGGGAGGGGCTGATCCCCAGGAACAGGCTTGAGGTGGCTCCTTATCCTAATTGAAAATGAGCTTTGGGAAATCTCTATACACATGTCATATACCCCATGATTTTAAGCACAGTGTACCCCATCATGAATACACAGGAGAGGGTGAGTAGAAGTCTTTTTCCTGACCAGTCGCTTCAGAGACAGAGAAGCATTCACTGCACATGCGTTTTTTAAATCTCTGCTTGTAACCAATGTGCCTGACCACAAATGACCCACGGTGGGCAGTGCCTCAGGTCACCGGGCTGTCTGTATTGTCTGCATCATGTATGTTTTTTATTTTTGGTTTTTGAGATGGTCTCCCTGTAGTCCCAACGGGCCTGGAACTCACTGTGTCACTTGACACTTTACCACATTTATGTACACATTTGTGTCTCTCCACCTCCTCTTGCATTTTTCCTTCCTGAACCATTTGAGAGTGAGTTGTCAGCCCTGGTGGTGGGCATACCTGTCATCCCACCACCCCACGGGTTAAAGCAGAACTGAACTCCCTTCAGCCCAGGAGTTGAGCATCATAGAACTACTCCACTAAAGTTTACCTGTGACTGTTTCAGACCTTGCTCCTGAGCTCCCTTCCTATGCCCACAGTCCCACTGTTGTGTGGGTGTGACTGTGGTCATGACATGTAGCCCGTGGTTCCCTGGCTATTTTCCCATAGTCCAGGATTCAGTTAGGAGCCGTTTCTTTAGTCTACCTTAGTCTCAACCAGGAATAGTTTTGCTCCAGGGACATCTGGCTGTGTCTGGCACGTTTTTGGTTGTCACCCTGGAGGGTGAGAGCAGGCTAAGCACCCTCAGTGCACAAGATAGCTTACCACAGAGCACGTCACCACAGCACGGTCGGGCCCTGAATGCTGGTTGTGCAGAAGTTGAGAAAATGGGTCTACAATGACTCTCCTGCATTTTTTCCTTTTTCATGACATTGACATCGTTGAAGGCCCCATCCAGTTTCCTACAATTATGCCGTTATATAATTCAGATCACATAATTGTTTATTACTCAGATAAGTGGTTCCCAAACTTAGGTGTGTATCAGCACTCCTGTGGAGTTATTAACAAACTCTGTGGTCTTGGGGACGGGGTCCCGAGTCAGTGTTTTAAAAAGACAAGACAAGCCAGATCCTCTCAGTGTGCATCAGTTTGGAATACATTCTTGGTTCAGGATTCTTCACAAGGGTCTTTGTGTAATCCTGCCTCGTCTCATGAGTAGCCCAGAGGTCAGCTGCCCATTTCTTATGATTTGGAGTCACCAAAATCATTGGGTCAAGATGAGTCAGCTAGGTATCGCGTTGTAAAACTACCCTTTCCATGTAATGAGTGCATCACCTCTGAGGTATGTGCCGTGGACGTGAACTGTTCTGTTGTTTGCTTATGGGTCTGGTCGCGTCTCCTTTTAATCTCACGTAGCCTGTTTTGGGCCTTTACCGTCACAGCCAGCCATGTGGGTTCTGTAGTTTCAGGTTCAGTTAACTGTGCATAGAAACTGTTCCTAAAACACACATCAGTGCTGCACTCCTGCAGGTGTCTTGTCATTGTCCCCTAAGTGACACCATGCAGCAGCTGCTCACACAGCATCCCCTGTGATCTAGAGATGACCTAAAGTGCACACCCCTGTGGTGAAGGCGCCGCACGTACCACATCATTTCACATGACAGCCTTGCATTTGCAGTCTTTAATGTTGGGGTCCAGTGCCGTCCCCCCGCCCCACGTTCACTGTAAAGAATACTCATGCGCACATTTTATTATGTAATTGTTTAAATGGGTGGTTTAGAATAAATCTTGAAAACTTCTAGCATAAAGGCTGCACACAGTTGAAGTGTGTGCGTTGCCCCTGCCCCTCACATCTCCAGTCGATCCCCACACACACATTGAAGGGCTGGGACTGTAGCTTTGTGGTAGAGTACTTGCCTGGCATGCATAAAGCTCTGCGTTTAATTCCCACCACACATCCGCACAAGCACTCTATTCCAGTGTCCTTTCCTTGATTTTCTGTGTTTTCTGTAATTGTCAGTTACATGTACAGGCTGAAGTAAGTGATGCTTATGTCCAGATGCACCTGGTCTGCCGGCCGATAGCGTGACTAGTCAGTCTTGTCTAGATTAGGTAGTTACCATAGCAACACGGGCTCCAAATTCCTGTGGCAGATAGAGGGCTTAGCTCAGTGTCTGAAGAGGGTTTCCTCCCTGCTCTGGTCTCTCGGCTGTCGTCACCCCTGGACTCCTGCAGCAGAGGGTCTCCCTTCCACCCTGGCTTTTCCTCCAGCCAGCAGCAGCCACATCTGTGTGCTACTCTGCTAGGCCTGAGGCAGCCATCATCAGCCTGGAACATAAGAGGCTTGGTGGGAAAGTGCCTGTTTCCCAGAGTGCAGACCTCCCCTGTGTGGTACAGCAGCCAGGATCCACAGGTCCTACCCTCCTGGAGGGAGATTGCTCTGTGAGTTCAAGGCCAGCCTGATCTACATAGTGAGTTTTAGGCCAGCTGGGGCTACAGGGAGACTCTTTCAAAAAAGACCAAAAAAATAAGAAGAAATACGAATTTGTTACCATTTTAAGCCAAGCATTAGGAATTCTTGTGTCAGTCACAGAAATAAGTCCTTTCGTCTCTACTTGGGATAACTCCTGTCTGGTGTATGTGCTTATCTTCATGCCAGGGCCTGTAAAGCTGTCGCTGGCTCAGCTCTTGCTGGCTTCTCCAAGAGCGGATTCTCAGGGACATGTGGTTTTCCTCTTCCTTCCTCACAGGTATACGATCAAAGGCATCAGGAACCTGGTGTTCTATGAACTGCCCACGTATCCTCACTTCTACAGCGAAGTCTGTAACATGCTGAGGGCCTCCCACAGAGGCGAGGAGGCCACATGGACCTGCACAGTGCTCTACTCCAAGTACGATGCCCAGAGGCTAGCTGCCGTGGTGGGTGTGGAGCGGGCCGCGCAGATGCTGCAGTCTCCCAAGAGTGTCCATCTCTTCATCACCGGAGAGAAATGAGTGGGATGGGGCAGGCGGCGTCGACGCCATCCCACTTGTCCCGTTCCTGATCTTCCCCAGGAGTGGGACTCAGCAGGGAACGTGCTCCAGACCGCCGTGTCCCTGGACGTTCAGTTCAGCAGCCTAAGGGGAATTGCCCGGACTGAGAAATGCGCACGGGGGCCCTGTGCTCGTCGGCCTTTTCTAAGCTGTTTCTCTAATACGATTTTCATTTTACACTGGGCAGGTCCTCAGATTCACCTGTTGGACATTTTCTTGAAACTTCGTATCATGCTTATGAAGCTAAGCTGCTCACGAGAAGGTGCTTGCTGCTTTGTGGTCTTCGGACGCACAGATTCCATAGAACTTTTCCCAGCCAAATGCTTTTAAGTCTTACAGTCTAAGTCAGCCTAGAAAACGTTCATTCTCCATTCCTAATGGTGTTTTAATTTAATTAAAATACCCGTTTAAGCTTGGGGTGGTGGAGCACTCAGAGGCAGAGGCAGGTGGATCTCTCTGAGTTCGAGGCCAGCCTGGTCTCCATGGTGAGTTCCAGGCCAGCTGGGGCTACAGGGAGACCCTGTCTCAAAAAGTCCAAAAAAATAATAAAAATTAAAAAGTAAAATACCCGCCTAAAACTACCCTGCAGCCAAGGTCAGCACCCAGTCCTTATCGTGGCTGTGGCTGTTTGTTGAGGTGTCAGGTAACAGGCGAAAGTGAGAGGACATCGTACTTGTGATGCTTCTGAAGCATCACGTGGACAGGGACAAGTCTGTGAGCTGAGTTGTCTGCAAATGGCTGCCAGCCTGTGAACTCCGGCCCCTTGACCTTGATACTCTCGGAGGTCACTGGCAGGCACTCTGCAGGGTGTTTTCTTAGCCTAGATTAAATGGCAACTTTGGCAGGGACATTTCTAAACGATGCTGCATCTTCCCAAGTCCGTTGAGGTGGCTGGCTTTGATTTGTCCCATCACCGTCGACCCTCGCCAACCAGTTGTTTAAGATGGTATTTGGTAGATCTCCACTCTAAGACCTGTCATGTAGCTGAGGCTGGCTCTGAACTCTCAATCCCCCCACCTCTCAAATGTGAGGATTATAGATGTGCACTACCACAATCTGCAGCCCAGCTGTCCTACAGGAATGCTGCCATGAAAGCTTACCTGCATGCTGTGTGTGCAGACAGTGGTACCACAGCCTGGCTGGCCTGGCCTCTGTTGTCCGAGCTGAGTGTTTGCTGTGTGAGCATAGGCCAGCACATTGACGGTTACTTCTTGTCCACATACTAGAAACTATGTAGCCTAGCACTTCCTGTTGCAGTGACACCGCACATTTCTTTCTGATCTCCCATGATGCACCCTATACTCAGTCGGTGATTCTTGTCCTCAGAGTGACAAGGATTATTGGTACATACCACACTTAAAATTGCTTATCAGAAAGTGATGAGATGACTTAGGTAAAGCACTTGCCACAAGACCTAAGGGTCTGTGTTTGATCCTCCAAATCCCCATGGTGAAGGAGAGCATCAACTCCCTCTAGTAAGCAAAAGGCCTGTGGTTACTGTGTGTGCCATCTAGACGACCCATCCTCTGAACTGCAGCTTACTGAATGGCTTTCCATCATTACAGGACTGCCTAGCCACCTCTGGCTCTACCATGAGCCTGGATCCCCCCTCCCTCTCCTCCTCATTCACCTCTTCCCCTCCCTCTCCCCTAGGACAAGGTTAGTGAGACAGCCCAGACTGGCCTTAAACTCCTTGTGAAGTTAAGGATGACCTTAAACTCTGATCCCCTACCTCCCAAGTAGTGCTGTGATTGCAGACGTCCTAAGATGCTTCCTCATGAGCCTGGACGTCAGGTCCATGGTGTGGCCCCAGAAATGCATTTTATCAAGCAGGCCTCGTGGCTTTCACAGTTGGCTTGGGGCCAAACCTGCCAGCTACTGCTTGCCAGCAGAGCCCTGAGGATTTCAAATCCAAACAAGGGGCTTGCTCTGTTCCAGGTTCAGGTCCATCAGCCCTGCGCCAGCCAGCATGGCTTACAAAGAGCTGGTGTAATTAAAGGGACCGTAAGGAAGGCATGTCCCACATGAACGGAGACTGGCAGTGCCTGGCCTAGTGCTCACCATCTGTCTTTGCTCCTTTGTTGGTGTGTTTGAGACAGGCTGCCCTCATCTAGCCCCAGATGTCCTTAAACGTGTGTCCTACTGTCTCAGCCCCATGATGCTGCGATTAGAGGTTATCTCTCCTCCCCAAGAGTCTCTGGATAATTCTTAGCCAGACCCGTTTGCCCCCCAGTGTCTGGAGTGATGCCAGTCCCAGGAAGACAGGAACTTATCCAGAAAGTGAGACATTTTTGTAATATATTTTGATATCATTTTTGAATATTTTGTTATTTTTATTTTATGTGTATGAGTGTATTGCTTGCATGTATGTAAGTGCACCTGTGTCATGCAGTGCCCTCAGGTCAGAGGAAGGCATTGGGTCCCTTGGAACTGGAGTTCTGGATGGTTGTTAGCCACCATGAGGGTGCTGGAAATCAAATCCAGGTCCTCTGTAAGACAGCAGCCAGTGCTCTAACCACTGACCATTTCTCCAGTCCCAAAAGTGAGACTTTAAAACTGCACAGTAGTAACACCTACCTTTGTTTTTTTTTGTTTTTGTTTTTTTTTTGTTTTTTTGAGGAGAAAAGAGGAGAAAGACTTTTAAACCATGATTGCTACTCACAGCTGGCTACCCCACGTGCAGCGATCCAAACCACAACAAACTAATCACTGAGCCCACAGCAGGGACAGCCCTCTGCCGCTTCCAAAGGGCTTGTAATTGAGTGCAGATGGCCCAGGCAGGATGGGGTGCATGTCCCTGCTGACTCCTCACATCCCAGAGGACCAAGGGGGCCTCTGGAAACCCTTAGCCCTGATTGTACCCCTTGTGGGGACAAGGAGCCAGGCTTCGGAGGGGAAGGGAGAGGCAGGTTGTGCCCACACCTGCTAGCTCCTGTCTGCCTGGCTTTCCACAGTGCTGAGCCGTGTTCAGATGATTTGGTGAGTCTAGGGTCTGAAGATGGCAGAAGGCCTGTGAAAAAGGCAGTCATGGGCAGTTCTTAACAGCCGTGTGAAGAGCCTGGATGTTCAACCTGCAGGTGGTTGTGAGGTGCCCAGAGCTTCCTGGAAAAGGGATGCAGTGGGAGCCAGGCCTAGGGCACACTCCCTAGGGGCTGGGCTTCACAGCCAGCCTTCCCTCCCTCCTGACCCCTTCCCAGAGGGCTGTGACAAGTGCCCCCCATGCCAAGGGGCATGGAGGAGAATGGAGCTGGGAACAGATGGTGACCATCTCAGTAGTGAGTCTCTGAATGCCACAAGAGGCTGTCTGCCCTACACAGATACTCGAGCCTGCCCTGGTAGGCAGCTCAACCAGCTGTCCCTCACTGCTGGGAGAACCATCCCACAGGTGATGGATGTCCTTGCCAAGTTGTCCTGGTCATGTCTTGGGCCTTTGCAGTGGGCCATGACCCGTTGGGACCATACCTTCACTGGTACTTGGAAGGAAGGCAGTCTGCTGCTGTCTGATTGGGAAGCTGCTCTGGGTCGGTCCATCTGTTCTCACAGCTGAGCAAGGCCAGAGCTGTTGGACCATCTAGAGGATGACTCGGAGCACCATGACTGAGGTGTCTGCCAGCATCCTGCTGTCCTCGTCCTCGCTGACCCCTGCTCTTCCTCCTGCAGGATGATGCAGGGAGAGATGGCCCTGGGCTTACAGCTGGTCAGTGCACAGATGTCCACAGGCCAGGCTTCATGTTCTCTGTCATTGAAAGCCAGCCTGAGCTGGGTGTTGGGTCCACATAGCCCCTGATACACTGTGCACAAGTCTTCACAGCCATATTTTTGTTTGGTTGGTCCCAGCCTCCCCCCACCCTCCATTCCTAGGTAAGCCCCCCTTCACTAAGCTCGGCCCCAGCACTACCTCTCAGCCTTCTCAGCTTTATGGAGTAGGGAATAATCTGCCCTGTCCTTAGGAGCCTAGCAAAAGTGGAAGAGGACAGCATGTGCCTTTACTCCCTTCGCTAGGGTCTGAACCTGACTGTAATGTGACCTGTCAGTGAAGGAGCCCGCATCCCCATCACCCTTTCCTGCCAGCGAGGTAGCCTCTGAGCACTGGGAGAGAGCTCTGGGAGAGGTCTTCCAGATGGAGAGGAATACCCTCCTGTTTTTCATCTACCTGCCAGGACTGCGTGAGCCAATGCTCTAGTTTGGGTTCCAGTAGAGGGCATCTGTCAGCAGGCCCTGCAGAGCTCCAGCCATATTCTGTGTGTGAACATTCCTAGTGTGGAGGCTACCCGACTGCTCAGTGGCACTGCTGTCCCAGAACCTACACTTCGGACGTCCCTAAGCCACTGAACCGTGTGGGTGAAGGAGGCCAACATCTCCATGGGACTTAGGAAAATATACTCCAAGAAAACACTGCTGAAAGTGGGCAACTGCCAGTTTTCCATCTTCTGTGTCCGAAAGCAACTCTAGTCAATAAATGAGACACCCCCCCCAAGTCAGTGGGAACTGGGCCATCTTCTGACCTATGAATCAAGGTGCTTATGTCACAGTTTTCTCAGAAGTGGCTTTGGGGGCTCACGTGCTTTCAAGGTGGCACGCTCTGTCCCCTCAGCTACTCCAATCAGTGCTGGTTGGAGATGTTATGAAACCTGAATCCCTGTTCTGTTCCTGAAGCTGCTAAGTACAGACCATTCTCTCCAGCTGGCTAACCTCAGCTATGTGATGGCGTCTACTCCATCCACCGAGTCTCCTTTGCTTCAAGACAATTCTCCTGACTTCCCAACCTGACTTCCTTGAAGACCTTTTTTTTTTCCCTGAAAAATTATTTGTTCTTTTAGTCTTTTTAAAGGTTAATCCATGCTCACTTAAAAAAAAAAAAAAAAAAAAAAAAAAAAAAAAAAAAAAAAACAATGAAAAACAAAGTGGGCATTGTGGTGCGTACCTGTAAGCCCAGCGCTCTCAAACCTGGGGCAGGAGGATCCCGACTTCAAGTCCAGCCTGGTCTTACATAGTGAGGCCTTGTCTGAGAAACAACAACGATAAATAATAAAAGCAAACAAAAATAGTGAAAAACGAAAATGAAAAATATTTGGTTTCATTAAAAAAATTAAACGGTCTCAGTTTACTACGTAGCTGAGGATGACCTTGAACTCAATCCTCCGCCTCCATCTCTCAGGCGCTGGGATCACAGCTGTGTGCCTCATGCTTTACAAGCGAAGAGATGTGCAGAGAACGCCTCAGAAAATGGCTGTGGGGGTTGCACACTGCAAATTCAAGGATGAGTTGAAAGTTACAAACACCAGGTGGTGCTGTGAGCAAGTGCTGTGAGGGGCTCCTGACACCAGACACCTTTGAGGCTGGGCCTGGGCCTGGGCCTTGCAGCGCCCAGAGCTGGGGAAGATGTAGAGAGCCAGTCCCCTCCTTCCCTCCCTGTCTCCCTCCTTTCCCCTTTCCTCTCTTCCACTTAATAGGAACAGTGAAGACAGAGGAGAGAGGAAAAAAAGTTGGATAAGAATATAGTTTCGGGACTGGAGGGATAGGTCAGAGAATAAGAACTTCCCATTCTTCCAGAGGACCAGAGTTCCATTCCCAGCACCCATGTTAGACAGCCTACAACTCCTGTAACCAGCTCTAAGGGATCTAACACCCTCTTCTGGTCTCTGGAGGAACCAACACACATTTGGCCTGTACGCACACATAAACATATATAATTATATATAAGGTGGGAAAATAGAGGTCTTTGCCCTCTCAGAACTGCTGAATTCCGAGAATTCCCCAAAGCCCCACTGGAGACAGTCTCTGAACATGCCACAGTCCCCATTCCCGTGTGAACATGCCACAGTCCCCATCCCCGTGTGAACATGCCACAGTCCCCATTCCCGTGTGAACATGCCACAGTCCCCATTCCTCTGTGAATACCACAGTCCATCCCTGTGTCTACACGCCACAGTCCCCCATCCCTGTGTCTGCACGCCACAGTCCCCATCCCCGTGTGAACATGCCACAGTCCTCCATCCCTGTGTGAACATGCCACAGTCCCCATTCCTCTGTGAATACCACAGTCCATCCCTGTGTCTACACGCCACAGTCCCCCATCCCTGTGTCTGCACGCCACAGTCCCCCGTCCCTGTGTCTGCACGCCACAGTCCCCATTCCTGTGTCAACATGCCACAGTCCTCCATCCCTGTGTGAACATGCCACAGTCCATCCCTGTGTCTACACGCCACAATCCCCCGTCCCTGTGTCTACACGCCACAGTCCCCCGTCCCTGTATCTGCATACCACAGTCCCCCATCCCTGTGTCTGCATGCCACAGTCCCCCATCCTTGTGTGACCATGCCACAGTCCCAATTCCTGTGCGAACATGCCAGTCCTCCATCCCTGTAATCCTGCTTCTCCAGGCTTTCCTGCTTTCCTGCTGCTGGCCTGCATCTGCTGGCAGCTGGGGACACTCACTCTGGCCTGAGTCTCCAGAGACTGAGGACACTCACTCTGATCCTGCCTGTGGTTGCAGTGTCCTCCCTTGAGAAGAGCTCCCCAGATGTGCCAAAGAAAGGCTGACCTCGTCACCCAATCACTTGTCAGTTTGTAGCTGACAAATTCTGTGTGAGCACAGGTGGAGACGACAAGCTGCCTCAGACACCAACGGACAAATGTCCAAGCGAAACGGGGCATCCCCACATGGTGTGTATGAGTGTGTTGGGGGTGCTATGTGCATGAACTTGTATGCACCTGTCTGAGTGTGTGTGTGAGTCAGGGATGAAGACTGATAAGGGAAAGACCTAGGTTTTCTGGCCAGAGGCATTTGGGTTTTCAAACAAAAACCAAACAACTAGAAGTTTTCAGCAGAGGACTGAATTTCTGGCAGGTGTTTAACACACCCGAAGTCCAGCAGATGTGCAAGAAGTCACTTGGTTCTGCTGTCTAGAAAGCACCTGCACCACCCCAGACCCAGCAGCATCTGGCAGATTCTGGCTTCTTAGTGAGAGGCTTCTCATGGGTCTGAACACAGTTCAACCTGGGTCCTCACGACCCAGAAGTTGACTACCTTACACTGTGGAATTGGAGGGTTTTGTTTCCCTGACAGCCTCCAGGCACAGTGTGTGTGTGTAGGGGGGGTCACACCTGTGCAGAGCCCCCAAGTCCAATTTGGTTCCGCATTAGGAAACCCAAGTCAAAGACTAATTCTGGCTGCAGGATTCAAAGACTAATTCTAGCTGCATGATTTGACTCCCAGGGTCAGAAAAAGCAGCTTGAGGTTCTCATGCCTGAGAGGTATGAAACACACCTAGCAGTCCT